TAACATTCACAAATATTAACGGTTTTCTTCAAATCGAATTCGTCAGCTTCCATTCCCTAGTTTATAGGTTGTTGTATAGCTCTTTACTTTCGTCCTATTATTGTTATGGGCATACCAGCAACGTACTTATCGGTGACAGACAATGTGCATTGGTTACAAATAAAGCTGAATTACTTCAGTTAATGATAACATTTAAACAAAACGTTTTCTGACTGGACTACAAGTGGTTGAATTCGTGTTATCAATTTTGAAGTACTAATTCAATATCTTATATTCACATCTAGTACAATCAGAAAAGCTTCAAATTCTTCAGATCGCATTTTATGAGATGTAATCTAATGAAATCAAACCAGTCACCTTTCATTAGCAAGAGTACGATAGCTATCTCACAAAAAATATTCCAGATTTGTTCAGCTACTATAATGCACTAAAACAGTTTCGAAGTCTATGGCATATTACGTTCTAAAAAATAACTGCATCGAAAACGGAAGTTAGCGGAATACGGACTGTTATTCTGTACAATGAATGGCCTTCATGTTTAGCATTTGTTTATTGCGAAGAGTGGAATTTAAAGTCCACTAATGTGATTCCTATTGAATAATTAACTTAATAATTATCTGTTGTGCCGTAATCTATTTTTCTTGAGAGCTCTGTAAAATTCTGAGAATTCAGTTTCACAACTGATAGCCTGATTTGCACAATACTGCTAACACTTCTTGTACATAAATAGTTGAATAATATCTACATTGATTTGCAAAATTTAATAGTTTTCGCAGCTTCATGTAGTTCAACCTTTTTTACTACTAGGGCATCTAGAAAACTTCAGCTCAGCACTAAGTCTGTAGTGTCTGGCTGGTGTATTTGATTGAGTCGCTACGCGTAAGGTCAGATGGGAGATATATATTTGCCATTTCATGACTCTGTTTCTACACTTCTCATAGATGATTAATTTTCGAATTCCTAAGTGAAAACTGAAATCTTTGGTAACAGTGCCTTTAAGAAAACAACTTATCTTCCGTATTTACAGATGCAAATTTCTCTGTCATTGTCGAAGCGTTTGTACTGAGTGCCAACAAATCAAAAGAGACTGAATATTGTGGCCTTATAAAATCAATCAACCACAAATTCAAATAATGATTCCGACAAATAAAGAAATAATTTATTCTACCTTCTTTCACAGTAGAACACGGATCGTACTCATAAGCCTAATAAAACGCCAAATAAATAGCTAGTAAAGCACTATTGAGAACGGTAAAAACCAATTCTTTGTTCGTGCCAGTGAACATTTAATGTAAATAACCTGAGGTATCTCATCGGTATTAACCAACATACTTGATAATTTTTCCCTCGAAAATCAACTGAAGTTAACATTCTCAAAACCTATGTGTTTATTCAGAAGACAGACACGAACACTATACTCCGTGACACACACACACAGGGTTAGTAAGGCACATAAAGGTAAGTTATTTAAGACATTTTCTACTGAAACAAAATAAAAGCCATGGGCAGCTAAACAGACCCACCCGAATATCGATTAACTAGGCGTGGATTAAATGCTCCCTGATGGGTTAAACTATTACAATCAATATGTAATAAATACAACGTGCAAATTTATAATAAATAACCCTTGAATATTGTCTTTCTCGAAAGAAAAGAAAAACATCCAGGGGACAAATGTTTCTTAGCATATTGGCGAAAAATAATCCCCAACTGAAATTCGCCCATTTAGGGCTCAAATCTTATTTCAAAATGAAGAAAACAAAAAACAAAACAAAACCCATTGAATTGTAAACCTTGAAGTAGCCGAAATCTTTTACAATTTCAAAATCATAAAGTATTGAATCACGCAAACGTCAACTTGTCAAAGATGTTTAATTATTCTTCATGCTTATTTTAGATTATTTACTAATATTAATGTTCCTCACATTGACAGTTATCTATTGGACAATATCTACCCGACTGAATCTGTCTTATAAAAATGGAAATTTCGGTTTTCATGTGGTTGCGTTCTCTGAGCTGGATAGTTAATTTGCGAAGCTTTCATTGCCCTACTAGGCAGCATCTTCAGCGCATACTTCAATTAGAAATGAGCTTTCAGATTTCTCCATGAGTTTATTAGTCATCTCTCCTGGTGACCTTGCACGTGATTGGTTGTTTTTGTGCGTTTTCGCACCCACTAGGCTACTTGTTTTGGAACTGACTGTTTCCCTGGCTTGAACTTTGGTCAACTTAAGTATTCTTTTTGTCAATATGCGTAAAGGTGAAAGCGTTTAACTATATGGTCAGTGTTATTAGTTTGATTTTTTGAACAAAGCTAACAAGAGCCTCATACTTTGCATAAAAAAAATAACATAATTACTTCTTGCAGTATGCAGTGATACCGTACTATTTATTCTGTAGAGTCTTTTCCAGCACATATAACTGAATATACGCCAAACACATGCAGTAGGAACTATGCAACAGCAGTGTCGGAAATATGGAAAGTCAGAGGATAAGGAACAGAAAAACTTTATATGCAAACTTCAGGGTCATGGAGCACACTGTTCGTGTCTGACTTCTGAACAAACATATAGGTCTTGAACGTCTTAACTTTGGTTGATCCTCGAGGGAAAAATTATCAAGTAAAGTGATATGACTCTGAGCCGTAAATTGTGCTCTAATAGTCAACAGAAATAAAACAATAGTAATAATTGCGTGAGGTACGCAAAAAAATTATTCTATCATATGGTTATACTCTGAGTGTCCAAATTCTACTTTTATATCATTTTTTAGACTACAGTAAGGAAGTTGAAAAATGAAATAAGTTGGAGGACTTCATCATGAGCTGACATCAGTTAGAGAACTATTGGGAAACCTGGGAGCACCGGACAGCTGTTTCGGCCTAGTTTGGGACTCTTTAGCACCGTGAACCCACTGGGGTTCGAACCCAGGACCTGCAGGTTACAAGGCGAACTCGTAGACCATTAAGCCACTGGGACCCGATCCAATGGCCAGCCCATCCATTCTAATTTCATGCCAAATCAAATAAGTCATACTTATCCTTCAGCCTCCTTTTTGTATTCATGTGATTTGTTCGATAGTATAAGAGCTACTAACCAGAGAACTTCCAACCAAAGTTTAGAACTTCTACATAATTAATCAGAATCTGTGTACTTCAGTTGCTGTTTCGTAGTGAAATATATCATAAAACTAATTTATTACAACAGTTGTCGTGATTTAATATTGCCTCCTTATTTAACGTATTTCATTTGATCTGAGTTGTACTCCATATGTAAGTGAGGTAATCATATGTATCAGAACACGTTGCATCGATGAGATACAACAACTATCCAAATGAGTGGCAAGTTGAATATCTATTTGAGGTAGTAGTCTGAGAGGTAGGTCTTAACAGCAATGCAAAGCATGACTTTCGCTTAACGAATTACGATGCCTGTTGTTGAAAAAATACAGGAAAAATGTGGTATTGTATTAATATGAAAGTTTTGAAGAAGATTTTATTCTTGCTGCCGGTAATCTAATATATAGATAATCTGAAGACTGAACTGTTTCCCGGCTGAGTTCTGGTCATAATTTCGATGTATCTGTATAGAAAATTGAAGATAGTCTTCTCTGTAAAAGTGGTTTCATTATCTGCGTACCCAACAAAATTATTTGTTCTCTTTTTTCATAGTAATCTACCAATTACCCTGTGTAAAGCATAAGCAATGTTATTACTGCTTGATGAGTGTTCAGGTTGTAATGAATTCTCTTTTTCTTTCTATAGAGCAACTTCTTTAGTTGGATTTTACGGATAAATTTTACCCTTATATAGTCAGTACTTTTTCTATGCTCAGAATACAATCTATCACTACATTTGATTTGGTCTCTAACTTCTGTATTATACTTTTGACGTAAAGAACTTTCATAACAAGAAATCACATCTTCCTCTGGTATGAAAAGCAGTTTGCGAATTCCTATCATTGACATAAGAAATTGTTCAACACATGAATTACTACTCAGAGAACTTGTAAGGCTTGTGAATATTTAGAGTAATATTTAGATGTGTTAACAGTATTATAGAATGAACAGCATATCTAGTAAAGAAGGCATATGCTGTTGTTTAAACTAAACTGAAAAGAGTGCTTTAGGCCAGACCAAGCTTTACCAAATATCCCTGAAATGTCAGTATTTGGATATTTGCTACAAAGTAAATGAAATGTTCATTAGACAAAAACAACAGCTGTCATACACTAACTGAGTAGTAAAACTTATTTCGTTGGCTTCTCATCAGCTGCTTACAGCCTAAATAAATTTTCAGGTTTAAGTACAGAAACGTTTTAACATACTTGCAAATTTTACATGTTGTCAGTTGACAGAAAGTTTCACACTTAGTGAACAGTGCTCAGAATTTGTAAGTATGTTAAAACGTTTCTGTACTTAAACCTCAAAATTTATTTAAACTGTAAGCAGCTGATGAGAAGCCAACGAAATAAATGATGGTACCATGTTATTCTGCACAAATCACTGTTGTTCTCGCTTTATTCAAATTTATCAAGGGGAATAAATGCATGTAGTAAAACTTACTTTAAAAAAAAGATATAGTCCACTATTTTTATGAAGGCAACTTACTGAATAAATTCAGTGTGGTGTTTGACTAATTAACACTTAAGCTAGTTCACTCTTTCCTGAGTCATGAATTCAAAATTTTTCAAAGTTGTATACCGATGCTGTATGTTGGATACACATTTCACATATCACATATTTATAACCTGAAATCTGTAATCCTCTTTCAGTTTTGCATTTCAGACCCTTGTTTACAGTCTAAGGATACTAAAGCCATTTAAAATGTTCACTGCAAACCATAATGATACGAAGTTATTGTGTTAAATAAAGCACTGAAATACTGTGGGTACATGTGGTGTCAACAACGGAATGAACTAGCAAGTGTAACATGCAAGGAATACCTTTTCGCCATTAGGAGATTAAAAGATTTAACCAAAAAAAATGTAGACATTACCCACCAGTTTTGCCACATTCGGAGAGAGTGACGGAATCTTCATTCTCTCAACCTCTGCTTGCATTGCAGATATTTTAGGGACCTGTCAAGAATCAAAAAAATTAGATAAATCATTATACTGTGAAAATAACAGCTTACTTATTTCTACATTTTTATCTGACCATCATATTTTAAAGGTGGAGAAATGAAGTTAGATCTAAGTCTAATATTCAGATAATGTTGTAGCAGTGAATTTATTATCATCCTTATGTCAGGTTGTTCAAAAACTATTAGAGTACTCAACAGCAGTATACCTAACATATTGGGAGACACTAAAAATCCACAGGATACTTATTTGACATTTCATCAAGCTAGCATCTTTTTCAAACTTTTAGTTTATTCTTATCGGGATAATTACTTCAAATGCATCCTCAATGACTACTTCTTCCCTCAGAAATTCGGTATTTGGACAGGAAACAAACAGACACTTATCACTTTCAAGCTAACTACTAAAAATTATTTCGGTTTACTAAATTACTTCTAAATGCAATACGTTTTGCAGTTTTTCACTATCATAGTTATTTAGTTTTCGGTGTGACAACACTTAGTGTTTATGTCTACTAACTTCATTTATTTAATTTTTAGTTAATCTGTCTCATAAATAAGTCACAAGTCGATGAACTGCATCATCACACATATTACCAACACTATTTGACTTTACGAAACTCCCCCAGCAAGTCTCCAGATCCTGTAAATATTTATTACAGAAATATTTAAAAGCCGAAATTCTATCAAATTTAGCACTGTCGGGATTTTCTTTGAACACATACTTCGCTTAAGCGAATTATCGGTTGGACACTAGTCTGACGAGGTGCATTATATAGGTCACACAAACGTCGAAAAAAGGATTGTTTACAAATAGAAACATTTTTGTTGTTCATGAGGCCGTTCATAAAATGTCCATAAATGACCATAAAATTTTCAATCAACAAAATTGGCGGCATTTAATCGGTCGCGCGAAATGGCGAAATCCTTATTTACCAACAGACAGAAAATTAAACATTTATATACGCATATATATATATTGAAATTTTAAGCAAAACCTAAATATTCATTGGTTAGTACAAATCAAATATTGTCTTTCTCAATCTCTTTTCAATATTCTCATTTGCAGAAAAGGCGAAAAACCCGCATATATATTTATGTAAACACTAGGTTTAATTAAAACGTCGTCATGGCAACCCACCAAAATCGATGAGTGAGAAAAGCAACATAGCTTTTGCTTATCCCAACCTTAAAGTTTTTCCTAGCCAGATGATTTAGCCTTTTTTCCTTTACACTTTTTTATTATTGTCACTTTCAATTTTGTCGATAATGTGGTAAAAGTGTACAATTGTTGACATTCATACAGTCGACACCACACCCAATTCGTTAAAGACGAAAGAATAACTCTCAAAAAGCTTTTAATACAAACAACTACATTGTTAGCATAAGAAAGAACAGTGATTTTGTAGGTGTTTATCAGATAGTTGTGAAAGAAACTGGGAGTAGAAAAGTCACAAATAAAAGAACCTGCGTGGTATGAATCTATTGTCTGTATGAGCTGAGAACTTTATAAACAGAAATGACAATAAATTTTGTGTCAACGTTTTATGGGCCATACAAGTTAACTGATGTCCTTTGCCTAGTCAGTCTGGGCTTAGATGGTTAATGAATCAATCTATTCATAATATAAGTAAAAAAGCTTTTACGTATTTATATTCATACTTCTCATGTTTGATGGATGAGTAGCGTCTCTTTAAAAATACAACAGCAAAAAAATACAAGTATGTTTGATATAGCGTACTAATCTATCCTTTCAAGTTTTTAATATTACGATTAGGTAAAATACAATAAAGGGATAAAGAATGCAAACTATGAGAAGCAAGATGACGTCATAAGAAGTAAAAATGCAATACTTTAGGTTCTGATGTCAATAGCCAGTATGAAGATTCTTAAGCCAATTAGTCTAAAGCTTTCTGTTAAGCTTTTACTTATGCGCTGAGTACTGAGAATATATGAGATAGTTTCAGCTTCAAAACTCGGAAAGATGACTCAAAAATCGCCTGTTCAAAGATTGTTTCGATAAGAGTTTTCTTCCGATCTCTAGTCATCATCTCCATAATCTCTTCATAAGTTCACTGGACAGAGTATTCCATTGTGTCTTAGACACAACTTATCATTTGCTTCTTGTCACTAATGCATTATAATAAGAATTTGGACGAAAAGTCCCAATTAGTTAGTTAATTTAATGACAAATAACTCATTACACATAACCTATTCATTTAACATTCTCGACGAAATATACGCTGAAATCAGACCAACAGCATAGTTTTATACTTCAGCTTAGACAGTACTTCGACGGTTATTTATGGGCTACTGAAATAAATCTTGCCTTGATCCAGGTTTTAATTGCAAATTCACTCTAAGCATTTGCTTATTACAAGGAAAACCAAGAGATTTCAATATCGATTGCTACTTATGTGATACTATAAGAAATCTAGAATTTTCAGAAACTCAAAGAGATTGAAGTCAAATTTTGGTCCTCTAAACTTTCTTTTAAATGACGTAGGAAATAAGCAAAGTTTGTTCCCTAGGATATTTTGGTTTAACGCTGTAAAACAGCGCCCATGTCAGTAGTTAACCTACTGACTTTCTAAAACATCTCATCTGTGAACTGTTCTTCTCATACAAAATCGTAATTATTATTTTGTTGGGATGTAGGCTAATTCTCAATTTTCACACTAGTTGGTAAACTTTCACCACAGTTTCTCTAGGAAAGCGAAATAATTCACATAACATCAATCATCGCAATCTAGAAAATAAGCATAATGAATAATGCTGGATGCTACTGACTGATTGATATGAATAGCTAAATACCACTCATATATCAACCAGTAGTGCTTGCTATCCAGATCATAGTGATGCAGACACTGAACGGCCGTTTCTCTCGTTTGTGGCTAATTGCATCAATGATATACCCTGTTTCACTCAAATGAAAGAGTCTAGTCAGTTCAAACCACCCGAATTCTGGCCAGCGATTGCGGCGAGCTGGTAAGATACTTGATCTAACTTTTTAATGCACTGACTTAACAGACACAGAATAGTCAAATGAATATGTAACAATAAGTGAGGTTTTTTACGTGTAAAAACATGCTAAAAATGAATGTTCTACATCGCTATTCCACCTTATATTCGGAGGTATAGGTGGTATTGAAACTGGGCACTTTTCAGTAACCAAGTTGATGCATAACAAGTCAAGGCTTTAGAATCCTGTCAGTTTACAAATGGGCAGTGTTTCATGGCTTTCTTTAGAATTGCAGCCATTATTTCTATCGTGACTTGGCAGTGATGGTGTTTGATCCTGTATGTGATCATAATAACTACAAACTAGGAAGAAACATTCGTGCTGAATTCCTCCTTTCTTCAGTAGCTGCTTAGCTTACGTTAATTCATGTGGTCATGTAAAAATTTACAAGTAATCCCTGAGATAAATGTAAACGCAGTGTATGTTACACATCAGTTTAACATATTTTAATTATACTTTCTTTTATTTTTGCCTACTAAAAGACGTATCTGATGCACACTATTTGATACTATTTGAAGAATATTAAATCCGAACCAATACACACATAACTAGTGAGATTTTTAATCAAACAGATTTCCATAAATGAATAACTCAACTAACTAACCTGAACAACAGCTATTTGAGTTTCTGACTGAAATCGTTTATGATTTCGTATTAGTTCTTGTAGATAGACAACAGATCGTGCATTGTAGCAGTCATGTTTACACTGATCAAGCAGGCGTTCATAATACATATCGATCTGAAATGAAACGTAAAATCATATTCATCTCATAACTTTTGAGAAAGGGAAAAGAAAAAAAAATAAAGAATCATAACCCGGAAGTCAGTGTTTGCATGTGACGACCACAAAGATTGCTTCCTGAAAAAACATACATTTAAAAATGCATAAATTAAGATGGAAATGAAATCGAAATGATCCTATCAGCTGACTGACAAAATTCAATAGAAAGTTTTATAGTCGTGAGTTTATCACTGTTGTGTTCACCTCGGTAAAAAACATTTCTAGATGTGACATTAAACAGATGAATTACTGTTACTGATTACTGAAGCCCACATAAGTTCTAATTTTATAATATTCAAATGATTTTACTGGATATGCTTTAGTTTTTAAGAAAAGGAAACTAGTTGGTGACAATGAACTTGGAGTTCTACTGATATTGAACAGGAATTGGCTATAAGCCGTGTATAGGTTGCAGACTCTTCAGCAACTAGTTAGCGGTAGCTTTTGAATAATGAGGGTCTGATTACTATGGAGCTTGTGCAAAAACCTGTTATCTGAAAACATGATAGGTCTAGAATTTGTGAAGACCTTATTCTTTCAACTACTAGCATTCGTACTCACTTTGCAGAAGTAAATTAACACCTTTTGCATTCCTTTGAGACTGATCTTGTTCAGGTCAAAGACAATTACAATCTGTTTCATTTGAAAATTCACTGTTAGCACAGTAACCTGCATAGATTTTTAAAACTTATTGATTTCTCAAACTCATAATTCTAACTACACGATTAAAACGGCCAAAGTAAGAGATAATGTATGCATGATGAAAAACAAAATCTGCAGCATAATAATTGATTAAAAGGACGGAAATCACTTGACTGATCATTAGACGCTTTCTAAATACAAACGCCACAGGTCATCTGATACTCACGACAAAAATCATCTGACAAAAATTAACGAAACTATATTATAGACAACACAGGTAATCCGAAATCTGAGTAGCAGTTTTCCTTGATAGATGTCAGGTTAATGCAGCATGCACAACAAGAGGAGAGATTGGCTACACGATTGTGTTTCAGTAGTGTCGAAACCAGGAAATAATTTGAAGAATACATAAGTAACAATCTGTTGACTCTATTCAATGCACCTTGAAGGGCTAGTGTAAAAATAAAACCTCGTATTCACATAAAGTGGAAAATAGTTCCGAAAAAAGTGTATGTTATGCTTAACACGGTGTATTCATTCAATATACCATTGAAGTAATGAATAAAAAACCAGGAAAAAGCCCTCTCTGTATATTCGCCAAAAGAAAAAGCATGAAAAACTGAGATCTGAATGAATTGCAAAGGCAACAGAAGAATACAATTTATCAGTGGTTTTATGATTGCTTTTAGAGTTTTTGGGGAGTTTAACGCATGAAGTTATTATTGTTTTTTATGTCATTACATGCAGCTAAGTCTTTGAAATCTACAATTTCGCTTACTTCTTCAGCTAAAGATATCTTAAGTCAACATTAGATAGAGAAAAAAAATAGCCAGAACGACTACACAACTTACCTCGTTTAACAAGGAAATTAAGTTGACAGATGATTCGAAGGCCAAGAATAGTGATGACCTGCCCGTTGTTGATGTATTCATTATATCCTCCTTGTTTGTGTGTTTCGACTTCGATAAATCACCGTTCATTACAATTTGCTTTAAACCATCACTATCGGAGTCCATTGTACTAGTAGCATCAATAACTGTGAAATTAGTAGTAGCTGTTGTTACTGTTGTTGTAGTAACAGGAGTTGTATTATTAGGTAAAGTGACAGAATTCGTTTCAGTCTGAATTATTTTTGTATTCACCTGAGGCTCAGAAATTATTGCTTCCATTGAAGAGAATAAGTTTTGTTCGGAAGAGTTTAGAAAGCAAATTTGTAGTGCTAGATTATTCTCCTAAGATTTAAAATAGAATTGAAAGAGTTTTGAAGGAAGTGCATTCATCGAGTGTTTGTTACATAGATACAGTATGAAAACCATCTTCAAAGCAAAAATTCAAAATAATCCATTTTTACTTTCAATTAAGTTTTTTGCTTTATCATCTGAGAGAAATGTCCATTGTAGATAGGATTTTGCATTATATCCCACTTATTTACAAATTAAAGATACATAAAATTTACAAATATAGATAGTTGATTTCATATATGCTGTCTAGCTGTTTGTAGCAGAAGAAATAAATAACCATAGATTAATAATGCAACTAACCAATCAAAGTGATCATGAATGTGATTGGATGATTTTTACAACTGAAGGTCATTTGCAACTTAGTCATATTTACAGTGCATAATAACAAACCAAAACTTGTCTGTTATGTAAACTGAGCAGTACAATTAATTATAATTAGTAGTTACTATCTGCTTTAGAGTCTTATACAACTATGGAAATATAAACAAACTCCTTAGGTTTTAGTCTCACTCCGTATGCATACCTGTTATATGTACATAAACTATAAATAGATTCATTCCTGTCCAAAAGCATGTCAAAAATATCATTTGCTTCATGCCTCTTACTGATGTCTGCTGTTTTGCGAAAATAATTGCTTTTTTCTTGCATGGTTTTGAAAGTCATTCAACGTCATGACACGGGTTCTAACGATTCATAGGTTGAGTTGAATATTAAGTCACTTTTCAGAAGAAGATATTTTATGCACTGCACATTTATATGGTAATGAGGTCATAATTCTGGCGCAATATTTATCAGTTTGCTCATAACTCTTGATGCGGATCCTGAGACTGCATGCACATTCCGCATACATTTAACTTGATTATAACTAACGGGATACCCCGATCGATATAATACAATGACCAGTAATCAATAGAAGTCAAAAAATAAATTATACCGAATCTACTTAAGAATGATTAAATTCAGTGTGAAGCATTTTTTTAAAGCTAAAATTTAATATTTTGCTAAGCATAATTTCATGTGGAAATAGCAGTAATATCTGAAATTTTGTTGTGCTTTGTTTTCTATTTCTCGATCTCTAGACTGAAAAGCTTTTCAGAAGAATGTATTAAGCATCCTCTAAAAATGAGATGAAGTGCAACCTCATTTAGAATCCTTTATGTGTATTCTTTCTGAAGGCTCACTTGGCTGGCTGCAGAAATTAAAGCTTCATATTAGAAACCAGAGGGTAATGGAGGTGTGCAGCTGAAGCCCTATGTTCCTCTAAGAACTAAAGGATACAATAATATAATAATTAGAAACCAGAAAATTAATATATTCTAACTCATCAATGACAAGCACATAAAACTGTATAACACAGTGACCTAGGGTAACATGAAGAGATGAAAAGTCCTCAAAAACCGAAAGAAACTTCAGAGGTTCTTAGTTAAATTAACATGAGCTTAATTGATTTTCTTAGAAGTCGTCCAAAAAGAGAAAAAATGGTAAACTATACGGATATTTACAAACGAAGGTGTGAGTAATTCAACTAATTCCTTTTAGGTAGGAAATTTCCCCACTGCAAAATTTCACTTGGCTTGTATTAAAGGAATAGTTGTAAAACAAACAGAAAAACTGAAAATATTTCACTATTGATTAACACAAGTAGGTAAAAGCATACTTGTGTGACACCTTGGGTCAATATGCAGGTTCGAGTGATCTAAACACTCAGTAAATTTCTGCAATCAAAGTGCCTCTATTAGCGCTATCGATGTTATGAAATGAAGACCTTGAAAAGGCCTGTTTTAAATCCAGATAACGTAAGTCCCCCCGGTAACTTCGAGAGCATAACACTGTGAGACTTTATCAAAACAAAATTTACCTATAATGGAACTTCGAGAGTATTTTGAAAAAAATTTAGATTCTTAACTGTGGATTCACTGTTGGTGAACAATGGACTGAAAGGAGAAGATTGTTATATCTAACTAGCCCTCTCTGTGCAATAACGGTAACCACTGGCGTAAATCAGCCTTCATAGATGACGTATAACAAAAAAATTACAGAGACTGCATACTCCCAAGATAGTAAATTGTTGTCACTATGATAACAGCTGGCAGAGTTCGCTAAATCATAGTACTACCTCACATTTATGAAATGAATTTGAGAAAAGAATAGTGAAACGCCAAAAAATCTTTATGATAGAAGGGAAATCAATTAATACACCCATTGATAGAATACAATGATAAAATCATTTTAGTAGTTTTATTGACGCGAGGAACATTAAAAAAAATAAGAATTTTATTGAATTGAATTTTTGACCCGTTGCACAAGAGGTGGCTCTCGTGGCCCAAGTGGTCTAGTGGATAACGCTTTGGTGTTTGAAACTATGGGTACTGGGTTCGAGCCTCGGTGGGAACATCATCACTCACTGAGAAATGCAGGTACATCCAGATGACGAGTCCCAAATAGGACGAAATGTGCATCCTGGATTCCACTGCTAACCACCATCCACCAGTTGTAAGAATTTTATTGTTTCAATCGAAACCATGTATAAATCTATGAAATCCTAACAAATCACTCAGCTCACCTGATGTCGTCGATCTATCCATGAAGGTCTTGACTGTAGCCATTCTTCAACTTCGCTACATAGATCAACAGATCTACCCACTCGGGGAGAATTTTTGGTAGTTGACGGCTAAAATTTCATTTACACAAACGAAAAAAAAACATTAGTTACATGCACATCAGACAGCCTCAAAATGTAAGCAGAGTATATATGTTAATTGAGTGCTGAGATTCTCAAGAAAGTCTAATCATTCACAACAGGAACGTACAGCTTAAATACATGCTGCTGTTTGAAGGTTTCTATGTTAATTTAGAAAAAAAAATACTGAAAAGAGAATATTCTTTTCGAAAACTTCTTCAGGATCTACAGTTATATATATATATATATATATATATATATATATATAGTGAATAATATGTTTGTGCATATCATTTCCAAAAAGTCCTTCGTGTAAACGATATACGCTGGATTATTATTTACTTGGTATTGGAAATATTGTGCGTCGGCAGCACAGCGGTTAGGACGCACGCCGACCATGCACATTGTCCGAGTTTCGATCCCCGGTCACAGACGCACTCCTTTACCTTGCTAAGCCAGAAATAATTCTGGTAAAGAGGAAAGGTTGGGCATGAGGCTAGCAACCCCATCCTGTAAAAATAAACACTTCTACAGAAATCTCCAAGCAACTAGTTTGAAGCCCTATGTTCCACTGTGAACGTGAAGGAAAAAAAATATTGGAAATATTATTGTTTTGAAATTTAAACGAGCATATTATTGTGTAGTAATTCACTTCAGCAACATATTCTAACCATATAGGGATACTGATGACCAAAATGACCATTACGCTTTCATTAACTTCTCACAAAAGAAAAAAAGTAAAAAAATCACAACAACTCAAGACGGAATAAGAAGGATAGACAAGAAGCAACGGGAGAATTCAGGAGGGCACAGCTAACATAAAAATGACGTTGGCTATGCTCCATTCTCTTCAGTTTCAACCGTAGTGAACCATCTTCTGATCCTCTACTTTGGGTGTAGGTTATAATTTCAAGTGTGAATATCTGTTTAATTGCTAGACACAACTATTTATTGCTAGAGTCATTGCTGTATATTTCTTGTATAAAAATCTCAAACTTTTTATAATTACTCAACAGTTTTGTATCTAGTGAAGTGAGTTAGGATTCACTTTGCATAGTGGAAAGTCTAGACCAAGATGAAATACCTCCCTCAGAGGAGTCGCATCAGAGCCAAAGGTTTTAAATACTATTGTAATTATTGCCGTATGGGAAACTCACTTTCTTTTCATTTGGAAGTACTCAGAAGTCACCTAGTCTTACTTTGCATTTTCTAGATTAAATTAATAGAGGATGCGGTAAGAAACTACAGTAAAAAAAATAAATTTCTTATCTGCCACTCTCATTAAGTCATTTGTAAGCTTGTCACCAGGTTGGGGTAAGGAAAACAGCTATCATCAAACATCTCTTTTAAGTAAAGTAACAGGCTATTGATGAAGGACAATCATACATATATAATAAGGAAATATATTTTAGTCAGTAGATATCAATCTGGAAACTTTAGAGACTGGTTATTCAGGTCATTTCATAAAAAATGAGATATTTTTTATCTGGAATAATTGACTAATTACAATATTGACAGCCTGCTGAGCAAGATCTATCCCAACATGAACAGTGACACTTCCTACCTAGTCAAAGCAACCCAGTCAGTCTCACTAAGATTCACTCTCTCTCTCTCTCTTTGGAATTTATTTAGAAAAGTGCTTAGTGGAAGTACCTTCTAAGTTTAGACGTTCAGAATGAGATGTGCTATAGAAATAATAATGACATAAACCACAGTGCCTTGTTACACAGGTTCGAGTTCCAGAAGGGACATGAGTTCCTTCATGATTGCAGATACGCCTTGCTGACAAGCGCCAATAAGCACGAAACCCAGGTCCTAAACTTCCTGATGACTGCCTCCAACCATCTAATAATATAATAAACATCCAGATATACATGAACCATTATTATGAATGCACAATATTTATCAACTACTGAAAAGCATTTGTTCGACTGTTTCTATATAGACACGAAATTGAAACTATTATAAATGAAAATTAAAATCAATAATGATAGCATTATAAAGTCACGTGAACTTATTACCTATTTCAAGTATTTTAGATTAGACTTCATAACAGTTGATATAATAAGTAGTTTATTACACTTGGAAAAATATTCATTCTCGTAACTTCTTATTCTGTTATGGAGTCACTTTCACATTACTTTGTAGATTCAAGCGTTTAACCAATCTGTATTCAGTCGTACTTAAATATTATTTATTTTTTTTTTTTTTAAGAAAACCGACCAGTACTATTGGGAAGAAATTGTTAGTGGTCTCAACTTACTATGATATATATATATATATATATATATATATATATATATATATATATATAAGCTAATTTAATATCATATTAAGATTAGACGACAATGTCATTTACTATATGACAACCAGTTTCAGAATAGCCACTGCTCTTATTGAGATTCCTTAGTGAAGCCAATAATTTGCATCTAATTAGAAACATGAACATTTTTAAGTTGTTTGGTACACTGTGTTGGTGAATAACAGCGAACACGAAACGCATGTTAATAAGGCCTTCTATCTGATTAACTGCTAACGTGTAATACTCACAACTATATATCATTCTGATATAATTTAGTCTGACGTTTAACTCTGTCCATCCTGTATATTTGGTCTCAAATCTACTTCAAGTGTTAGAAACTTTGTTTATGGCATTGCTGACTGGTCTCCGAGTTCGTCAATTTAAATAGAGATCGTCCTTCCTTTAGGACATTATGCCATGTTTTGCTGAACTTGTTATCTAGTTTTAGAAACGCCAGTGGTGATTTCAGAGCACCTATAATTTCATTGGGGGAGGGGGGGGGAGACTTACGTCACCTGAAGTTTTCCATCAGTTACATACTATGTCACTTTGATTTTTATTTTCCATAAGGTCCTTTATTCCGCTCCTTTTTTATGAGACGAGATATAATTAAAGGTATAGTGTGCTGCTAGTGAGTCTCAATCGGTAAGCAAGTGAATTTGAAAATTTTATTAATGGTAGCTACAAATATGAGTATAAAATTCTATAAGTCTGACTCTCAGATGAGTGTTAGTCTTAAACGAGACATAGTCACATGTACACCATTCTTTCTCTATTGATTTGATCTACAATTTTAATCCTGTTTTTCTATCTTTCGATTCCTTACCATAAAAAAAAACAACAGAATACAACAATGGAATTAAAGCAGTTGAAAACCTACCAAAAGAGCAAGTCAATATCCCCTAGCAGGTAGTATACTGGAGAGTAAACTTCTTGAAATAATTCTCGTATTTTTAACACTCTTTTACCCAAGTATCTAAAGTAAACTTTTAAAATGTTTTGAATACTAATTCATCCAACAATCTAAAGAATGAAATAATTAATTTCACTTCTCCTGAAAAGGATCATTTAAATAAAGAGCTTCTCAAACAACAGTAATATAAGAAAAACTGTTACCAAGCCTAAAAAGGAGTGACTTAAATCAGATACAAGAGATTTAGTTCAGATATATGGAAGGGAACAGAATTGAGTGTTTCTGAGACTGTCAGACTTTCCTAAAATTAACCATTCATATTTGTACATACGACATTAATTTTTAAATGAAAATGATTATGATAGAGAAAGAAAGACCAGATTTGCAGTATAAAATGATATCATTCTATTTCACAGGTTCTCATCAGCTATACGACAGGGCCAGGAGGTTATGTTCGCCTAACAAGGTAGAAGAAGAATTCAGCTTTGTCGAAAAACGGCTTAAGGAAAACGGGTATCCAAAAGGATTTATCCTAAAGTACAGCAAAGAAACGGATGAGAAAGAGAAGCATCCAACAATTGAAAAGAAGAAAGTGTTCATTTGCCTCCCATACAAAGGGGAAACCGTATCGCAAAAGATTGACAAGAGGATGAAGGGAGCAATAAAGAGGTGCTCCCCTGCAGCCACTTTGGTGACACTATACAGTACTACATGCTCTATAAAGCAATCGAAACTGGATAAGTACCCTGCTGATGTTACCTCCAACTGCATTTATAAATTTACGTGTACCTGCGGCAGCAAGTACATTGGAAGGACAGAAAGAAGGGCTTCTGTTTGGTTTTTAGAACGTATTCCAAGAAACTTATGCCTTAAAGGAAGCAGATATTTACAAAGTGCAATTACCAGACACCTTGTGGATACGGGTCATTTTGTCGAGATTTCTAAATACTTCAAAATATTAAACATACAAAGGACAGCGAATCTACTACGATCTGCTGAAGTAATTGCGATCAAACGTCACAGACCAAACTAATGCATACAGAAAGAGAGTGTGGTCAATCTCTCACTCCCCTTTTAACCATATCACTATCACTACACTGATTAGTCATACACACTAGTGAGCTCAACTCATTAAGCAAGTTTCCAAATTGATGAACTTTGACCTTCTTGAGTTGCCATGTTGACACTGTTTATTAGATTTTTCTGTTTTCTGTCCTCTCTCACCCCCTTTTTTTCTTCTTTCATAGTTTGACAGTATATAAATTGATGGTGATTGACTTAGATTATAATACTTATATTCCAGATGCGTTCACCTTATAATGTTTTCTCTATTACCTTTCAAACAATGAAGTATGAAATGTTATTATTTATAACCATTGTAATTTCAGGTAGTTTTCAGCTGATGAGAACCTATGAAATAGAATGGTATCATTTTATACTGCAAATCTGGTCTTTCTTTCTCCATCAAAATTTATCAAGGGAACCAAATGTATGAAAATGGTTATGTATTGGTTATTTTATTTCTCAATAAACCGGGAATTTCTGTTACCGTAGTTTCCAATATGATTGTACATGTCATTTTAGATGTCACTAAGAAACAAAATCATTTTGGTACATTCTTCTTTGTGTGTATTTTTAAGAGATTTCCTTCTGAGCTGAAAAGTGTTATTATATTTAGTTTTATTCATGTTGACTAACCAAATGTTTTCAACCTTTAATTATTATACTAGTTTCTGTACAATTTTGGCTAGCAACCTGAGAGAGTTATAAAGCAAGAAAAACTGGAAATCCTACCACTACAATCTATCACAATGTCGAAATCGACAACTGTTGATAAAATGGGATACACGTGTATCACTGAAATTAGTAAGCAAATTCGATAGAGTTCGATCCGTTTCAGGTATACGATGATCTCTACAATCAAACTGACGGATCCATACCTGAAACAGTCTCTCTTAGCTGTCTTCACTTAATTTGTTTGGAGCTACTGGGGATTGGGGTTGGTAGATTTATATTTGATGATGGCGTTTCTTCACCCATTTAACGCTAAATTCAACTAAACCCATAAATTTAATTTATAAATTAGATGTTCAACGTTTTACGATTCCTTCAACTGATTTTAAAAGTTGAACTGTATTTAATATTGTCTAATTAGTGTTATCTTCCATTTTAGTATTCGCAGTAGTTAAAACAAGGTAAAAGTTAACCGAATAATTTTTACACTGAACTACTTTTAATACGTGCAACAATTAAGAAGCTTTCCGCAGAATAATAAATAACACATATTCGGATATCCTTTTTAGGCATAGTCTATCTTTGTTAAATCTATTAACAATAATGATTTTATTTGTTACATATTTTACTGAAATAAATGAGTTTTCAACTGTTTAATAACGTTCATTGTCAGAAGAAAATTCTGTTTAGCTATTTCAACTCCGAAAATTGTAATAATGGATAACATTTAGGAATATTGTTGCTTAGGGTCCTATTTGTCTCCAGTAAATGATGGAAAATACAATAGTGAATATTGATTGCATTAATTATTTCCATAAAATAGTATTTTATGGTCAACGTTTACTTATCGCATATGGTTGAAGATAAAATTCTATGCAGAGTCAATATTCCAAAGTGCGTCGTAACACAAATGACAGAATGCTGTTAACAGGCATTGAGAGAATACATGGCTAGGCATTGCATGCAAATAGCACAAAAACCCAGTTGTATTAAACTGCGACACCACCCAAGTGAATGTCTAGAGATCGAATTTACAACTCGAGTCACTAATCCACAAGCATAATGGATTAGTTGACCACATTCTACCGACTCATCCTTAACCTCTTTGGGTCGTCGACCTGTTCACACTAAAGTGATTTGGCACTACAAGATTTTAAAGGAACCAAATCACTGAATTCTTCACATCAACAGTATAGGTGTTCTCTTAATCTGTAGCGCAGATAACTGCTACGACGACAAAGCTGCAAAATTACTATACAATTGCTCTGTGACAACATACATAAAGTGAGATAGTTATGTTATTGTTCTTCAGATATGCTGAACATGAAAGCCTTTGCACATGACAATACTGTTTCAACTTCAAAAAATCCTTAGTATATTCGAGTATATACAGACAATATTACCTTAGTCCTCCTGTATTTCCTTTTCCTTGTATTTTATTAATAGTACTGATCACTTTCAGCAATCTGACAGCCAGATTCTCCCAAAATGCTTTATTATATTTTTTTCTGCCACCGCTTAATTCTATCTGTATCACTTAAATATGTGTACATGTAGACATCACACATTTTATAAGTTTTTGCAAGCTTAACTACTGTCTTATGGAGGTTCAGCCTTATCTGACTAATCGCAAGCAGTTGTTCTATGAGCTCTGTGGTCACACAACACTAATGCTGTCTGTGTTTCATGTGGTTCAAAAGAAAATAGACCTCGGAACCGCGGGCAGCCAGCAAGTAATTACGGCCCACACACTTTCATAAACACATAAACCTCTCCTAGTTATCGTCTACCTTCATATCGTTACTTTCCCACCACTTTTAACACCATTCTACATATATGGGTTTTTTACATTAGCTCAACTTAGAAACCATTAATAGCAACTACAGCAGAAAAAAACTACCAATAATCTCTTGAAACCACTCCGTTAACTTCACATTAGAGCATTCAACGTCCAGAAAGTTTGTCAAATCAGATAACAGGCCTCACTAGTAAAATCTAATTACATGTCGAGCGATAGATGTATGTTATATTTTGGGGACACACATACACAACCCACGTTCAGTTATTTTCACCTAAAAGATCCTTTGGAAAAAAAGGTTGCGATAATTGTCGATACCTTTCATAATCTCTGCTTACGTCCCAACTAGCTATTGTTCGGATGGAGCAAAAAAGAATGAGTCCCACAAAACGTTCGCCAGTTTACTGTTAAACCAAAAGTGCTGATGTACATTCGTTTTGGCAGTGCTGAAGTAGGAAAGCTATGCCACTCAAAAAAGTATATTGATGGCATCTATGGAGTCCTGGGACAGCGGACTGATGATTCTGTTCGGACAACCATCTTTTTCTGGTAGACAGTAATTTCAGCTATAAGGTAAGACATCGCCTAACCTCGCGACATCCATCAATAAATCAAGGATACACTCAGGTACATCACTTAACTATATTCTGTCCATATAGAATGCCGCTCCTTGTGGAACATCTGTACTCACTCTCCTCCATACACATATATCCCATTAAGTATTTGACTGTTGATGTGAGATACGTAAGATTGGAATTCTTGAAACACTAAGAACCAATGGTTGAAGACCGTTGCTGATATGATTCAGAAATGTTATCAGTGGCGCATATGCATTCCCTCTCTACGAAATCCTTGATCCATCAAATTCTCATTTTTCTCCATATACTTATTATTTCCCCTGTGAATTTCTTCCACCTTTTTGTAGTATATGAAGTGTAGTAACTTGAACTGATGCTCTTTTTTGAGAGGCTTTTCGTTGTAATCTCATTTAGTCGGTCTTGTTTCATAAGCTACACTGATAATCCCGTCATGGGATCACTGCAAAACTCACAAAAATATTACCTAAACATTTCGTCTTATACATAAACAAAGGTGACATAAAACTCACCATATCTGACACAACAGAACACTGATTAAGTCTATCCATATTGGCAGTGGTTCTGGTTCGAATAGGTGAACCCCATTCAGGCATTAATTTGCCTGCTATCGTATAATCTTTCTCTGCCAGCAATGCCTGAAAATGGAAAAGAAGTGGATTTCATAGTTTTTAAGTACTTTGTGACAAGATATAACATATGAAATATTCCATATGACAGAATATTATAACAGTTGGTAAATGAATGAAAAAACATCAGTAGAATGCCCAAGAAATGCAGTAAAATGAAAAAATGTACTCTTAAAATCCGTTTTATTTTATCTACTTTGCGTTAATTTTGTATTATGGTAAAAGCGTTTTTTTTTTCCTTCACTTTCCCCAGTAGAACATAGGACTTTAAGCTATTGGCTTGAAGTTTCTGTAGCAGTGTTTATTCTACAGGATGGGGTTGCTAGCCTCTTTACCAGAATTATTTCTGGCTTAGCAAGGTAAAGAAGTGGGGTCGGTCGGGGATCGAACCCCGTACCATATGCATGGTTGGCGAGCGTCCTAACCGCTATGCCACCGACGCACCTTTGGTAAAAGCGTGATTTTCACTATTTCAATGAAGAGGAAGAAAACAGTAGGAGTGATAAGACATAATGACGTAGTTAAACTGATGAGCTGTCATAAGGTGCTACTTGCAAATAAATTCTTCTAATGAAAGAAAAAGGCAAAGTTTAAACAAGAAATTGTGTAATTTAGCGAATGAATGAGCTAGTAGTTTAAATACAACTGGAAAACAAAATCACAACAACTGGATTTTTTGAAATTAACGTCTATTCTGGAAAAATATTTTTGAGAAGGCATAACAAAAGAAAAGAGTCCAGGGGATGATATAAAGTGTCTACGGTTCAATGCAGACAATGGTATTAATTTACCTGATTAAAATAATCATAATAAGTCGGATGAAATGCTACCTGTTTCGCCTTCTTATCAGTTTGAGGTACCTTATTTATCAGGCGTCCTGTGTGAATTAAATGTTAAAACGATCAGACCTCTTTGATTTATAATGCAGTCGAATTCTTTACCGTACTGTTTTAGCACTATGCATATGATACATGGACATAAGTTTTTGGCAATAAGTACATGTAGTTTAATGGGACCAGATGCCAATATTTTACTGGACAGATACATATAGAGAAAATAGTATTGATTCAGAACCTTTCCTGACCGGTGGCTTTTTAATCTTTTAAAGACTTTCTCAGGCATTACTTCAATGATCGAGTATCGGCTTTTAAAAACTCCTATTTCTCTAATGAGTGATGGCTGAAAGTGAATTGAAGACTAGGTCTTAGAAAAATGTTAACCCGCTCAGTGCTGCACGAAATGATCAACAAAATCCAGCTGTTTATTAGTTTTTAGTTTAAGTTTAGCTACCGAAAATTTCTTCTAACTGGCATAGCAATGAATGACGCATATTTGTCAATTTAGCAGCATCATAACAGCTGCTTAACCAGGCCTCACTATCGTATTTCTGAACATATTCAGTTAAAGAAAAGGCGTAATTGATCAGTTTTTAGTGAACCAACAAGAGGTAGTTTTGTATTAGAAAACGGATGTTTATGTGGTGAACACTAACTGAAACGAAAACGCAGCAGCTACTTGTTTAGATATGATAGAGAAGATTTGTAGCTCAGGTAGATGATTTTGATGTGGTTTTGTTCTCTGAGCTGGATGGTTAGTTTGCGAAGCTTTCATCACCTTACTGGGTGACATCTTCAGCGCATACTTCAATTTGAAGTATGAGCTGAAGATGTCACCCAGTAAGGTGATGAAAGCTTCGCAAACTAACCATCCAGCTCAGAGAACAAAACCACATCAAAAGCTCCTTGTTTGTTTCTCAAGTTGGCCTGAGCTTTCATTTCGGTTCCAGTCATTATTTATTACATAAACATCGATCACCCATTTCAAGACAATATCAGATGGTCTCATTAACAATATTTTTATTTTCTATTCATCGTTTTATGGCCATCTTTAGATTATTCTGTATGTTATTCCAGCTTCATATACTATTGTTGCTTGAAAGAAAATTTTCATTGTCAGTGCTATTCACTGGTGGACTAAGTAAAAACTGTTTAAGTTCATACAAAGATCGCTAAAGTTTTCTCTCTAAATATTGAATTTCGACAGTAGGCCTCAAGTCACCAATATAAGGCGTTTGCTTGTGATGAATAACACTTGAAGGTGTATTATGTATTCACTTATCATGAATTCATCAGGTCAGTTCATTTAAATGTAGTCAATCCTTAACTTCAAGAAGTACTCACTTAGACTCGAGAAAATGTAAGAGTTTGAATAAAGACTCTTTTCAGTTTCATGCTAAACAAGTGATATTAGCCATAGTGTTACATATGTTCAGCATATGCTTGAAATATTTGCAGTGAACACTTTCCCAAAATAACAGGCCTAGATTACGACCACTCACACTATTACTTTGTACAAACATTCATTATGAACTTACCTATGATAAGTCAATCTCTAAGACAATTCAATATAACAATTTTTATTTATACTACTTATTAGTAAGCAAAGTCTACCGCAAACATTTTACGAAAACTAAACATTTAAAGATTCCTTACACTCGACATAAATTTTTTTGGAATAAGTTCTTCTTGGACAATAGGCTCAACTAGTTCAGTAGCAGTTTAAGATCCACAACCTCAAAGTAAGTAAACAAATGAATTTACCTGTCGCCTTTTACTCTCCTCTTCAGCTCTTCGTAGAGCAGCCTCAAATTTTGTCCTAGGTTCCTTTCTTTCAAAAACTTCCTCCTCTTCACTGTCGTCCCATTCATCAAAGTGAGTGTAGATTTTTCTTCTGGTGTCTCTTGTTTCATCATAAACTCTGGGGACTGGGTGGATATTTTGAGCAGAAGGATAACTCTTATTGCACAATAGTAAATCTGATGTGATTGAATCAAATTCATCCTATAGAAATCAAACAAGAGAGAGGAAGCTGTAGTTATTAAGCATTCTAACTGCAAACTGTGTGGGAATACAGGATTAACTTTGGTTTAGTGGACCAAATCATTTTCGCACTAACTACAAACAACTTTGTTTTCAATAAAAGGCTCCCATTAAAATGTCATTTGAACAACTCTTCAGATAAGGATGGTTACTTGTTACTTCTAACTAATTAGGTAAGATTTAAAAACAGAAATCTATCAGGTGTATATTTGAGTGGTATGAAAATACAATAAAGTACATTTTTTTCTTACTGGCTCCTTGTACTCTTTTCACGAAACGGTTCTCAATTACAATGAGACAAAAATAAGCAACTGATAAATGAGTTTGGTAAAAAATATTTTATCCCCACACAGGACAGACAACACTTGTACATCTGCTTCAAGGAAAATTAATTTCCATCTCTGGCTTGATTCCCATTTTTTGTTTAACTTTACTTTTGAATAACTGTAGGAAAACACTGAACGCAACATCTGAATGTGTTATAACATGGTAATATTCACCAGTGTAGTTTAGTTATTTAAGCAGAGCTATAAAATGACTTAAATTGATGACTTCAGTTTGTTACACAACGGAAAAGCTCAGCAACAGAACTAGACATGATTTAAAAACACGTAAATGATGAACGGAGTGAATGCAACTTTTTATAACTTTTGCATTATAGAGTTAAGAATACTCAAGACTACTGGAGGTATTCGGAAACAGGTTATTTAAGTCCAAATAGACATATTCCTGTTTTTTATGTTTCAGATACACCAATACACCATATTTCATCTTAGCATACTATGGGCACGGTTGAGATAGTTTAAAACGCTGAATATTATTTATGTATGTAATACCATCAAGCTGAATTGTTTTGAATGCAAAATAACTCATCCGTAAATCCGGTATTACTCCAAACCTTTGAGTAATAGTGAAGTAATTTAATCATTTTAATATTTTGTCACTGTCTCTTCGTGATGTAGAACATAAAAAATGGAGTAACCCATATAATACTTAAAAATGGTCGAATTGCTGTAAACTAAAACTTTGAAATTATTCTGATGCTCACTAATCACTGTCCACAGGCTAAAGTTGTCTGGAATTCAAGTGACAAGTCGTGACCAATGGCATCCACGATGGCGGGTGTGAAAACAAACACTCAGTGGTTATAATAGCTAACACTGAGAAGTGGGAGAAGCTGGAATTCATAAGCCGGTGGATTGCTTCTAAGTGGCTGATCAGTCGAGGGGCTGGCCTCGTAACCTGAAGGACCTGAGCACGGTCTACAAACTGGGAAGAAACAGCTCTCTACTACATCTTGGTTCCCAGCGATTCTGTAATCGCTACCGCCTAGCGGTTTTACTTGGGAAAACCCAAATACCGTAGAATAATTAACGTAAGTCACAAATTATGTATATAGTAGTTTGAAGCCACGTACTTGGTGTAACTGATTCAATTAGGTATTGGTTATTTATAAATACGAATAAATCTTAACTAACCTACTTCAAGCATGACTGCTTTGGGTACTTAAGGATTTAATACATATTCTCGGTAAAATTTTCCTCAATGGAATCTGAGGAAGAAATACGGAAAATAGTCTTCAAAGATATGTTTATAATAAATTCACATCAGGTGAACTATTATGTCTTCAGTAGTATGAAGTGGACATCTTATGTCAATGAGTATTTTATGCTGAAGCACAAACACCTCAGAACGACATTGAGATGATTCAGTTGATTATAGAGTGAAATATAACAGTAGGATCACTTACAATGGTTAAGTGTAGTCATATTGGGAGGTTTTATTAAAATAAAATCGAGTTATGTGATTTCAACAAACAAACTGAAATCAACGTGGTGATTAAACAGGAACTTGTGTTTATTCTGACCTTGAGGCGATAATGCCGCACAGAGCACGCAATGAATTTGTGAATGTCCAGTGGAGTAGTTGTACTACACCAAGTGGAGATACTTTGTCGGTTAAGCAACTGTGACGTCATAATGACTGTTAAATTCTATAAGAGAAATAAACTCCTAACTTTTACGCTTTCTTTTTACTTTTTGTAAACAACCAAGCAAGTAAACAACTTAAACAATAATAAATAAATAAATGTTAGTTTTAGCAACTCCATAAATATTTACCTTAATTCAAACTAAGCCTACATTTTGGAATGAAAACAAAACTATGGTGACTTTTCTCAGACAGAAACTAGAACTGTGTGGCATAATACAAAGGCTATGTAGTCAGCAAAACTGTGTTGTCTATGCAAGTATAGATGTATTCTAAACAAAACATAAGCTTTTCTAAGTCTAGTGAAACTGAATAAATTGGTAAAAAATCTGTTGTGTGTGGGTAAGTAAGTATAATTACCAAAATTGTCAGACCTAGTCACGGTTTGCACACAATTTCTCTACAGAACAACTGTTGTTTACATAATACGCACAATGTGGCCTTGTGCGCTGATATCTGGACAGCAAACTAGTTACGCATAACACGTGAAAGTGAATTTGATCTTATGGAAAAAAAACTTTATTTTTTGCTAAAAAGAAATCTCCAATAACATTAACTTCCTGCTATGAAACTCCACTTGCACCTTTAGAGTTATACCTCTGATATTGGTAAAATTCAACGACTGAATAAAACTTTTCTACACATTTACCCGTTATTACGCAATGCGTCTTGACCTAATACATGAACTAGGTACAGATTTCACTTCACCATGTCAAACAGTCTTAAGAAACCTGTCTAGCTCACTAGCTCGTTAGTTTTCTAGCCGGTCCCAAACGATGGTAAAGAGGAAGGGTTGGGCGTGGGGCTAGCGAACCTACACCACAAAACCAATCAAACTGCTACAGTAACTTCTACGCACAATAAAAAGATTAAAAAATACAAAATATATAATATAAACAGTTTTAAGAAAGTAGGCGTGAAACCGCCGTACAATAGTTTATTAAAGTATCTCCCCTAATTCTCTCTATTTTCAATCTAATCCCATAACAAATATTCAATACTCTGCGAAAACGTTTCACTTATAATGTGACATATCGACTGAAACTGATTGAAATTGACATCATAAAGACAAGATTTCGCTGACCTTTTATCGTACAAGGAATTATTTTGGAGGAATTTAGACGACCTTATTTTAACATTTGACTTTAATCTAACTGGGTTATGACCGAATTTGAAAGAACTCAATTCACTACATGATTCAAACTAATGCCTACTAAATTACAGACTTCACAACTTAAGGAGTAATCTGCAAGAACAAACTGCACGCCAGATATTCTTAATGACATATAATAGAGCTGTATTATATATTTTCAGTAACAGCTAATTATTTGCCCAACTTTCATAACTCAAAAGAACCAGACTTAAGATTGACAGATTTAAGTGGATAGTTGAGTTTGATAATTATTACTTAAGGCGTAGCGCTTAATGTTAGCTTAACTAATATCCTTAGTCGCTTTGACTAAAGTTGTCCGGTTTAGTATACACTACCTGCTGCTTAAATATCTGTGATAAAAATCATTTCAAGTAGCATCCTGTTTCTCACCTTTTTCCTCAGATTATCTTACTGTAATAAATCTTAATTTTTGTCTTATTATTCAGGTTCATCGAACTCATTGTCGAATTTACTTATTCTATGAAAGAATAAGTATAACAGTTTTGTAAATATTACACTCTTTTAAAGCAATATTTTTAATCTTCACTGGATTATTTTTATTAGCTGTATATAAGGCTGTGCGCAAAGAAACCACACACTATTATATTTATGTATGTTACTGAAAATTACTATCAGTAGTTCAACGAAAACCTAGATTATAATAAAATCTGATTTCACTTGATTAGGAAAAAAATATTGTAAGATGAACATTTAATTATAGCCACATATCTTCTACAAATTCTAGGTATGTTAATCACATACCATGATGCGCTATAATATCTACATTTTACACACAACTGTGGGAGATAATTTTTAACGAATTCAGTTTATAAAACTAATGATAGGTTTTGTTTTGCAATCAATAAGGTATCGGAAACTTTTTGCTATCTTTAAAATTTCTGAAATATCAAAATGAACATTTTTTTCATTCGTTGACCTAGAAAATGAGTGTTTATAGATCAACAAAATGGGTGTCAGATTTGAATCCAAACGGGAACGCAGTCGCTGCATGGAATGCAGATGTATTCAACTGAGCAGACACTACAAAACGCATATCTTAGATTCCACTACTGGAGCACAATACGAAAACATATTCTGTCCTGGTGGCAACAAGAAACGTCGACTGAAAACAAATAATTACAAGGTGGAGACATTTGAAGACACTTGAATGAACGAATGAATGAATATGTATCAATCACTTCAGACAGAGTTAATCAAACCATATTTCCAATGAAATTCTTGACAATGAACAGTGCGGTTGCATTTACCATCACCACAACAAGTGGTTGGTTAAAGCAAACACTCATAAAGCTCATGATATTTTATATAACAGACACTTTAACAAGGTAAATATTTACACAACTCTGTTTTATGTTTAGAAATGTGTTGGTGATAGTTCTTGCTAAAATGGCAGTGAACGAACCATTATTCTGAAGTGACTTAATTTTCACACGACAGAATACCACAAAATACTAAATTGAATGTTGAAGGTTAGAAGAATCGGGAAGTAGAATCGAAAACTACATACAATGGTTACTTCCGAGTAGTTTCAACTGATTCGGCTATCTGAAATGAGTTAAACCAGACACACCTTTGATGAATTCAGCCCCAGACGAGCGAAACAACCGTTCAGTGTTTAGATCAGCTCAACCTGACTAGCAAGCCCTAATGGTTGATGCGAGTGGTATCCAACTCGTCATATCAGTCGATCAATACATTTATGCTTGCTTTCCTGATTGCTATTTATGGTGTGAAGCTAATCACATATTCTGATGTGAATTATTTCGGTTTTCGAAGGAAACAATGGTGAAATCTCACCTTGAACTGTATCATTTGTAAAGTGCATATTTGATGCTATCAAAACTACCTGGTTTATTGTCACTACAGTAAAAGTTACTAACTGAGTTACTATTTTCCAACTTAAACGTTTAGTTTTATCAAGTACCGGTTTCACTTTCCGATAATTTTTTTGATGCTTCATAATTTTTGTAGTGACATAAGTTAATCGCGTATGCAGATCAATCGATCTACTAATTTGGTAATGAAAAGAACGCATATATGGGAATAATAAATACTTATGAAACAAGGTTGCTTTTAACCTGGTTAATATTCAAAGCATGACATTTATCTCTAAAATTAATGCCAAACTTACTGAAGATATTTCATGAAAATATGAAAAAGCATCTGAAACGCTGGATATGATAGTGAATAACTTCACGTTATTTATGTTAGTTATTTTCTGACTCATCATTAATTATGCAGAGAGTTCGTGTACTGCGTTCTCTTGAATCGTTAGTAGGTAAATATGTTGTTCAATACAAACAGTTCAAAAATCGATTAGTAGTCATAATATTGAAGTGAAGTTATAGAAAATAAAGAATATATTAGGTTAAGCAATGAAATATACTCACTAGCGAATTCTTTTGTAAATCTGTACCATCATTATCTCCTAATGAAAGTCGAATACTGTCGGAATTACTGTTTTGAGATACATTTGAATGTTGTGATTCATAACAGCCAGTATTGACATTTGAACTTAGATGAAGTTCAGTAGTAAAATCCTCACCGAAGGGTGATGTTCTTCCGGTAGCATCTCCCTGTCTTGCATGAAAACTTCGAGTTCTCACCAAAGATAATGGAATACCACCCTCCGTTAACGATCTGTGTTTTGTTTTCAAACCTTTTATTCGTTCATTGTGGTGAGAATTAGCCTAAATATTAAACAAAACAAAAAGTGCTTCATATGAAAAGTTTCCCCTTAGGCGGCTCTTTTTAATACTCATGAATTCCAGAACGAGATGAACCAAGTATGAAGGCATGAAAAATACCCTTAAACCTTTTTAGTTAATATTCAGACTGAACTGTTTAAGGAATTTATTTCACAAAATAGAATCACAAGGTGAAAGCAAGACTCATTTTCACTTTTTGCATGCTAGGAACCTTTTAAATCTACCTAATTTAACTATTCTGTAATATACACTTAGAATTTTAAACAAATTTTATGTGGATCGTACGGTTTGTACGACAGACGAAAGGGATATACATGAAATATGCAACATCCAGCGTCAATCACCATCAACGGGAGGGATTTGAAAGAGGTTACTCCCTTAATTCACTTATCTAGAAAGCATTGTCTCAACTACAGGAGGAACGGACGAGGATGTCAAATCGAGCGAGAATCGGGAAGGCGAGAAACACATTCACCAACCTGAAATCAATCTGGAAATCTCCGTCACTCAGCCAGAATCAACAACAACAAAATTCGGTCGGATTTTCAATACAAACGTCAAGTCAGTCAGCTCTTCTATACGGAACGGATCAGAAACTTGGAGGGCGGGCGGGTCACAAAGAATATTTCCAACAGCCCATTACAGACCTTTATCAACAACAACTGTCTTCGCTCTATGGTGAGGATCAGATGGCCGGGCCGGAGAGAATCACCAACAAGAAACTATGGGAACAAACAAAGCAAGAACCAATCGCCCAACAAACATGCAGGAGAAAGTAAAGATGGATTGGACACTCGCTGAGGAGGCCGCCGCCGGGTGACATCGTGCATGCGTCAGGCCATTGGTCGAGTGGAACCCGAAAGGGAAGCGGCGTGTGGGACGTCAGTGCAAGGGCGACATGGAGGAGATCGTGTGAATTGGAGTTGGAAGAGTATTGGCTAACATGGATGCAGGTGAAAAGTACAGCAGAGGACAGAAGAAAATGGAGACGTGCAGTTGAAGCCCTATGTTCCATTAGGAACCCAAGGGAGCAATAATAATTATTTGTCTTTAATAGAATATCACCTACCCAATTCACTCCAAATATATCATATTCACTGGTAACAAGTGAATCACAATCTTCCCAGTATCCACTACTAGTAATGCTACTAGTAACTATTTGATCCAATAAAGTAGAATTTTTTTCTTTAGCATAAGTGTGAATTTTATCTCCTTCAGCTGATCTGCTTTTGGCTGATAATGATGAGGAGTTGAACACTTCCAGACTACTTGACTGAAGCATATAAAGTTATGGTGCTTCAATTAAAGTAATACTTCCTTTATTATTTAATTCCTAAAAGTAACAGAAATACAAAAGAAGTAAATTTAATTGTTCATCAAAGTGGTAAATAAATTTTCCAAGAGATGTAGACACAATTCTCTTATTATCTGACAACCTACAACATCATATGACTTATACAGAAGAATTCAAAAATGACATCTTTTTTTCAAAAGAAAACAATTACTCAAATCAATAGTTTCTGTGAGTTGGCTGATCTGATTGTAATTTTCACTACCATAAAATATCAGTTGAGAAATCAGTGAAAATTAAGAGAGCGAAAGTAACTATGAATCAGTGAATAATTTAAACAGTGTCTCGAGTCGAAATCTCAATGTTTAACACTTTGGTTAAGTTATTCCTCATGAAAATAAAATATTTAAAAACTAGGCTAAACAACACTAGTGCTCTTTAGTTGCTACTGATCAGTTATCACTAAATTAAGATGCCTGCCTTCTAATATAAAGGGGGGTCTGGCTTTCAGAAACGAGAGGAAGATAAAAAGTTTCAAGAAAAGTTTGAGTAGAAGACCAGATGCTGTTTATTAGGTTTTCTGCAGATGCCTATAAGATTACAATCTGATGGCTTAACTGTGCTACGATGGTCTTAAAACCTAAGAGTAATGCCTGCCATCTAACACCAAACTGGTAAAGTTTCCTACAGAACTATAACATTTAGCTATTATTCCCCAAGTTTCAGTAGTTTTTGCAATGTCCCGTGATATCTAACCTTTTTGAAGACCAGTAGAATACTACGCATATCACAATGGTATGCATACAAACTATATATATATATATATATACACTGTGAATACATGTGGATTTTTTTCTTCCGTAATAAAATCATGTAGAAACTTTTCTTCCCATTCTGACGGAAGTTCTGCGCAGAAATGTGAGCTATAGGAACCAGTTTTGTGATTTAGCCTACGGAAATAAGATATATCTATTATTTAGGCAGTTGATCCATCGTTATTCACTAAGTACAGTGGTAGATAATTGTCTGAAATCAACTAAGGCTAAGGTTACTGCAAAGAATCTCATCACAAATTTCTGGGTAGAACAAACCCACTAAGTGTCATTAAATCCCTACCACCGGTAAACATTTTCTAGCGATTCTTAAGAAACAAATAACCCCAAGCCTGCAAACGACTTCACCGTGGTAAGTAGACTCAGCATTAAGTGTCGTATAATGGCAGCCTGCTTAAATCACCGGTCTATCAGAGTTCCCACCCAAAAAAATGCCTAAACTCTTCAGTATTTCTTGTTGTTTTAATCATACAGTTATTTATATTAATTGACAGTACTTGAAATCACACAGATATTCAATTAGCTTTCAACGAAACGCTATGCAATTCTTGAAGGAAATGAAGGGAAAATGTAGAGAATAGGTTCTCTCTTCATATGTAACAACACTGTGTCACATGAAATACTTCAAATTATTACTTTGTACGTATATTCTATACACAGACGAAAGATTTTGGAAAGCTGAACATTTCTGTACTATGTTCACATAGTGTCTGAAATAAAGCCTTATTATTATAGTTATTATACAATCTATCCAGTGGATGAATTGAAAATGAAACTATTGCCTTGCTGAGGAATAAAAAGAGCTTTGATAATGAAAGTATAAAGGACCAGATTTGCAGTATTACGTGTGATATCATTTCTCACTAGCTTTGAAATAGAATGGTACCATTTTATACTGCGAATACTGTTTTTGTTTCAAGGTAATCAAGTGTATGAAAAAAAACTTTCAGACTGGGTAAGGCAGATTTAAACAGAAATGTGAAGAATTCTAATAAGAGCTATACAGCTGTCAAACAAGGCAAGCATTGGAGTGTCATAGAAGGATTATTTGCATTTTAAGGTAATGAATACAGATTTAAATCTTTCTGAAGAAATTTTTACACGACCAATTTCAAGAAAATAGTAATCAAATATACATAACACAGTTCATTTTTACTACAACTGTTTTAATTAGCGGTGTTAATAAAAGTTTTTGTAAGGTTTTCTATTGTTCGGGCAGTAATGCTTTAATTTGTGGGAAAATGGTTGGTTTGTACTTTCAGCCTTTGCATTCTCTCGGTAATTTTAATTCCTGTTAAATTACAATAGTTAAAAACAAATGCAATCATTGGTTACTGTTTTTTTTTATTATCTTAAGCTTTACTGTTCAACATTCAAAAATGTGAATCGTAGTAACACCCACCCTGAATATCACATTACACGTAACTAGAATTTGGACGTTGTAGTGTGATTTATTTATTTCGACACTGTTATTTAGTGATTTTGTTTCTTTCTTTCGTTTCGATCTGCTGAGCCTTGCAGAGTAACCAGTTGTTTAGTGTTCGTTTCAAAATAATGATAAGAAATACGAAGGTGATGAAAAAACAATTAAAATAAATCGGTGTGTATTGCATTTCCTGAAATCTTTACTGCTGTGAAATCGTGTAAATCCTGAGAGAGTGATACTATTCTTTTTATTTAGTTTGCTACAAATCAGTAACAGATTTGTAACCTATACAATTGTAACAACTTTAACAAGGTAGAAGCATCACTGAAAAAGGACAAAAGCATAAGAATAATCATGTAAACACAAAGGAACAAATCCGGGTTGATGATAACGAATATTGTTCGTTATAATTATAGTAAAAGTGCTCCTCAAGAAGTATTTGTTTATCCACAATAAGCAATTCGTCAACATGTCATTTCTACGACAAAGGCTTGATACAAATTTGCGAACTGCCGCATCAATATCCTCATTGTTTATCATCTCATTCGCACTTATTCTTCACTCCTGAGAAATCTTTAGCGATGCAAAAAATATTAGTTTTTCGACTTGATGGAGATAATTTATGTGACCGCCCCAATTTTTCTTACTTTTTGTCCGCTATCTCTAGCTGCATTGATTGGCGAATACAAAAACTGTAGTCAACGTGTCCCCCCCTGATTGATACCACTTGTATATCTTGCCTCATTCAGTTTTCTAACAAGTATGTGATAAAATACACAAATTAGTTCAGTTTACTTTACGATAAGCATTTAAGTGAAGATTGTAGCATCGTGATAACCTACCCTACAAAGTTACCCGGATATTTAGTCTATTCTTTCGAGATAAAAACATACGTTTATTCTACAGTAAGGAGTTTAAACAACTTTCCACATATTATGACTTGTAAGTAATCAAAGAAACAAGTACAAGAAAAACAGACCAAGTTTGTATACGTTTTATCGTCTTAAACAGAAAATAACAAGCTGAAGTCCTCCTTCTGGAGGTTAATCACATGCAAAGTAGTCAGGAAATCCAAAATATGATCAGAAAGTTGAATGAGTAAAACTAAGCAACTTTTACTTGGTATTTAGTTACATTCACAAACTCCAATTATAATCTTAGTGACACTGTTCAAATTTGAGTTATGCACAAAAATGAGCTAATGAATAGTCGAGACTGTAGTCTCTCATGAATTCATTACGTAGGATTAGAATTATTGTTTATTCCAGTTTATTTAAATGGTCTAATGAAATGCGTTATGTTGTCAGTTCATTAGAACTTAACCTGTAATTCATTTACTAGTGGTCATGAGCAATAATAAAATTGTGTGGCTTTGAAGGTTATCTTAGAAACTGGGCCTCGCAGAGGAGTTGATGATAATTTGTCCAAGTGACTGTAGAGATGGTTTTTATACTTTCCGTTAATCATCCATATAACTGTGCTAAAAAGAAAGATTACCAAATGGGAAATAAATTTAATTAAATCCATTTTCTTTAAAATATTTACTCAAAATCCACAAATGAAGCCCATCATCTCAAGTATTCAATGGCATATGTAATAATGAATAATTCACACAGTTTATGCGTATACATGATCAATAAACCGACAGGTAAATAAACTCATATTATGTTAAGGAGTTGTGTAGGCTTATGATATCTGTGAAGAGGTGCTTAAATTCCGATAGGCAAGATATACAAGCTGTTACACATGCTGGAAACATTACATATATGTCCGAAATTCAGTATTAGTAACAAGTAGTACAAACAATCGATATGCTTACTATAGTATCAGTGATATCAGTAGCAATGCAAGTATATGTAAACCAGAATATATACATAAATATCTGTGGATTATGGAAACCTCTTCTAGCTTTTGTAGATAATAAAAACACTTATCTAGTTTTATTAGAAGTGTTAACATATAAGCTGGAATATTTTGCAAAATATACTATTAAGCAACTATATATTCAGCAATTACAGTATTAACCGGAAAAACATAAATCTAAGTACTTAAAATAAACAGTGAAAAACCCAACAGTCAAATAATCAACTTCAACCAATATTACAGTATGGTTTTAAAGTTTCCTTCATTTTCAAATAGCAAATACAAAAATCGTACTTTAATATCACTTGGTCAAAGGTCACATGTCGTGACACAAACTATATAATTGTTATGCTTATCCTCAATGGGTAAAACAGACGCAGGTGATATATAAAAAAGGTAAGTTTTAGCATCTTTTTCGTGCACATTTTTCGGGGAACTTAACAAAATGGATGGAATTAAAGCTTTTTAATTCACGGTAAAGTATTATTCAAGTAATAAAGTACTGATTCTTGAATAACAGTTGGCATCAAAGGTAGAGGTCTTATGGGAAACAACAACGACTTCGTTCACATAGAACTGGTTATAATTAAATTAGGTGCTGATGACAGAAACTGATGTAACAAGAAAAACAAGGACAAGACAGTTATTATCAGACAATACACAGTGAAGTCGGGAAATCGGCCAAAGAAAGCTTAAGTTTGCGGTGCAACAAAATTTTAAAAAGTAGAAATGCTACTTTAAAATATGTATTATATGAGAATCCCTGTATGAGAAATTATCACTAAGTGATAAAAGTATTTTAACTGTGTATGGAGTAATACTGGTCACAATCTTAAGAGTTAGATATTATATTGTCTGGAAAACTCCTAAGAGTAGACTCAGTATCTGCTAGTACTATTATTTACTAGATAAGGTTGACC